ATTTAAAACTAGGACACTCTTGCTGTGCAGCAACCGCTATAGCTGCAAACAGATGAGCTGGGAAGCATCATCCTTTGTGGAGGTGACTTTAGCAGAAAATGTTTGTACTATGTTAACATGTGAGTCTACGGAAGAGCAGGTCGCCTATGGTCAGTCGAGCAACTGCAGTTTTTTGGCATTGGCTTCATTTTTCAGCCTCACAGGCTTCCACAATGTAGCACTACCAACCTTGACCTCACCGATCTCATTCCGCTTCTATACAAGAAAAGCAATTCAAATCTAAATATTTTACTGGCTCTGAAACAAAATCATATTGTATCTTTTCTCTTTTTTTGGCATTGTTATAGAAAACCACATTTATTTTCAGCTATTTGTACTGAAGATCTAATTATTGCATTTCCCATGTATATATACATGGGTTTTGTCTCTGGTCAGTTGTAACATTTTAATATTAACGGGCTGCAGAAAGGATACAGTACATCAAAATAGATAATGATATGCCACTATAGCTAGAACAAAGGGAACAAAGAAAGCATGCCCTAATTGCTTGTGTGAAGCGCGCAGGAGGACAGGAGGACAAGTTTTCTGACTGCCTCCTTTGCTTCTCTTAAATGGCAAATCAGCGAGAAGAGAGAGAATCACTGCCCCAGCAGAGCAATCAGCATGTTAATACTGAAGCAAAACACCTCAAAATCCTCCCATGTACCAGAATCCATTTTTAAATAACCTAACAATAACATTTAATTAACAGAGAGAGTTACACCTGAGCATTTAGATTTTAACCAAAGAAGTCTCTGTTGTTATTTCACTTGTCTTCCTCTTTAATTATTCTGAATTGGAGTCTTGCTGAGATTCTCTGGGGCTTTAATTAGGGACTGAATTAAAGTTATGTAAATACAGTTGGAAGCCGTAGAGTCTTTAAATAGAGTTGTGTTGCATCTGGCATTCCCCCCACCCGAAAGAGAAAACATCCTAAGTCTTTCTTTTGAAGTTTGTCAAATCACTCTGGGGTACTTTTCCCTTAGGTGTTTGTGTGGATTGATACTTTTTCTCAAAGGGTTATGACACCAAAAATATTTCTGTGAATGTGCCAGGTTTTTCTGTCTGAAGGCATGTAGAAAACAATTAATGTGTGTCGCGTTCTCGCTGTGTTTTTACTGCGTGTAATCCCGAGCATTCGTATACTCGTATAAAACTTTTAACTATTCACTGGAAACCCGCACGCATAACGTTACCTGCCTATGACTGTATTAATAACTGATTCTCCAGCTCCAATTTGCTGATCTACTGTGAAAATGAAAAGAACGGGATCAACCTCCCATTGGGCTAGATTAAATCCAAACTAAGTGCCTGGGCCCAGACTGCGAGCTTCTGTCTCTGAATAATAATGGGTTCTTTCAGCTGTGTTTGTCATCAAATTAGCCCTCTACTTCAGTCGAGGCACTCTCAGAGAGCAATTCTCGACAGCGATGGAATTCAAATTAGGCCGAGTCAGTTTGAGGTTTGTAAGCTTTAAAAAGGAGAATGAGTTTCATTTGTGGAGGTGATGATTGCCGTAGGAGGTAAAATGACAGTGTTTAGGTTCATAAAAACAAAAAAAAAACATCTTCCTTCCTCTGTTGAAGTACCTTTAATGGTGATTTTGAGTCATGTTACGGGACAGACAGTAAAACAAACCCTAAACCAGAAATTGTAGCCTGCAGCATGCTCCACATGCGCTAAATCCAACTCTTATTCCAAACCATAAAGCCTTTGAAGCTCTTCCATCGGTGCATGCACTCATTTCAATTTTTTTTCCTCTCTCTTTTTATTCTCTCACATAAACACTAACAGTACAGAGTGCACTTATAAGCATAGCGGAGGATGTTTAACAAACTCTTGAGGCAAAGTTCACTTTTGTTTGTCTTCCTGCCTTGTATTTGGTATTAAGAGGACCTAGACAGAGTTCTTCCTGCTTCTCTGTGCCTGACACTGTGTAACTTGTAGCTTTGATCAGCTCAGGAGAGGAAAACCTGCACTGGGAAGCGCCATCACTACAACGCAGCAGGGAAGACACGTAGAGCAGGAGGGGGCAAGGAAGAAGGGAGGGCAACCCTGTTTTCCCTCTGGCACTTTCTGTCTTGCATACGTTCGTTTAAGGGTTTAGCGATAATTAAAAGATCCATCCGGGGGATCGAGAGAACGATGACAGGCATGAATCTAAAACAGCTGAAAGGGTTGAACATGGACTGTGAGTTTATAAAGAGGTCTTTGGAATATGTCTTGGATATGAAAGCAATACACAAACTTAGAACATATTGACAACTTAAGATTTTCTTGAAACTGAAAATGCTTTTTGGATGCTATTTTTAATTTGCAAAGAATTTCCAATCTAGTACATTTCTTCCTTTTGGTTCTGAGCCTTAATGAGCTGGGACTTCACACGTCAGTAAAATCAGACTTAATCTGCGCCTCATGCCCAGTTACACGTATTGATCTGATTCTTGTTTTAGATAAAATTGTGTTCATAATAGCAGCTTATTTTTTGTTAATACCTCCCTCACTTTCTTTTTTGAATATCACAGATCTGATAAGAATTGAAATGATTGCGTCCCTGACATGTGAGAGTTTAAATAGTGTTTTATTAGTGCATTTGGAACAAATGTAAAGCAAATTACAGTCATGTGAAAAGGACTCTATGCTGGCCTGTGAAAATGTAATTACACCCCAGGATTTAACAGCTTCTAGAACTGCATTTGGTAACGACACCTTGACATTCATTTACTGTATGACTCTATCAGTCTCTCGTTGTGGAGGAATTTTGTATCACTCTGCTTCACATCGTTTCAGTCCACTGAGGTTTGCTGCTGGTTTGGTTTGAGGTCTGGACTTTGACTGGGTCATTGTGACACCTTGATTCCTTTCTTTTGTAGATTTGCTGTTGTGCTTGGGATAATTGTCCTTTTGCATGACCTAATTTGCCACAGTGTGAGTCTTGACTCACATGTGAGTCTTGAATACCTCACTGACTGCAGACTGTCCAGGTCAAGTGGCAGCGAAAAACCCCCAAATCAGCACCCTTCCATCACCATGCTTGACAGTTAGGCTACGTTCACACTGCAGGCGAAAGCGCATCAAATTTTTTGACCCTATGCGACCCATATCCGATCATGGTATGACAGTGTGAACGGCACAAATCCGATATTTTCAAATCCGATCTGGGTCACTTTCGTATTTGGTACTGAATCCGATACATATCCGATGTTTCAGAAAGCGACTGCTGCTTGAATGGTCAAGTTGCATTAAATCCATCTTTTATGTCACTGACACAAGACAGACGCCAATTATCAGCGCCGGAGAAGCGCCCGATAGGACATTGCGAACGCTTCCTGGCCATCCGGTGAACCTGCTGGGAAGACAACGTTGGAGAAATGTTAACGTTTTATTTGTCCTGCATAATCTGCAGATTCTGACAGAAATCTGCAACTATCCTTTGAAGCACCGCTCCTCTCTAAAACAGCAATAAGGATCATTAGTAGGTCATTTACATTATTATGTAATAACTTAAAGCAAAAATTGGGAAACGTGAAGTCCGAAGTCTTTATATTAAGGGCCATCAGTCAAACGATATTGTTTGCTCTGGGTCTAAACAGAGCGCGTTGTGTGTGACATCTTCTTTTGCGCATGCGGGCCGCTTTGAGCGTTCACACTGGAGCGCGTTTGCTGTCGCATTTTATTTGTAGTGTGAACGAGCAGACAAAAAGATCGGATTTGATCAAAATATCGGAATTGAGCAATAAGACCTGCAGTGTGAACGTAGCCTTAGTATGAGGTGTTTGTGCTGATGTGTTGTGTTTGGTTTTTGCCAAACTGGGAGCTGTGTATCATGACCAGACCACAGACCTCTCCACTTAAGCCCGTCCAAAGGAAAAGTCTTGCTGAGCCTTGGTTGTTCAGTCTTCATATAATTGTCCCGACATGAACTTTAACACTTAAAATGTCAACTGAGGCCTGTAGATGTAGCTTAATGATTTTTTCCAGTTTCTCTGGGACAGTCAGTCCTTGGAAGATTGCCAGTGTCAACACATACATGAATGCTACAGATCAATTAATCAAGTGCACTTGAGTATCAGCACTTGATTAACTGATCTTGATTAATTCCTATGATAGCAGTAAAGGTGTGCTTAGTTTTTCTCACAGCATCTTGTGAAAAAGTACTTCTAAAAACAACTGTGGGTGAGCCCAGGATTTACAAATCTGTATTTTTCTATCATCCAGGGAGCAGCGATGTTGTGAAATTTGCATTTAATAATGCATCCTTTGATGATGAAATGATAGGTTTATGGCTGAGTATGTTTGTTGTCCAAGACAGCAAGGGGAAATAATCTAGAAATTGACTTACGGGACATTGGTACCCTCTTCTTTTGAAGAAAGACGATCTTCTCCTCTTAAAGTAAGACACTGTCCCGGATAAGGCTGCCCAGCCTTGCAAGCACATGATAAAATACAAAACGCAGCCTGTCTGCTTTGAGAAATCCAGGACATCGCCACCTTATCTGGGAGCCTTCAAAATAATGTCAACTGGTAATCAATAGACTTTGGTGATTCAAATGGCTTAAAACCCATACTGAAAAGTCAACATGCTAAACATAAACACGGTTCTTATAAATAAACCAATATTATCTTGTGATACACGAACATGATTACTACGATTTTGAACTACACTTGAAGCGGGGTCAGTGTCTGGTGCCATTCATTCAAGAGGAGAAACGCTGATGGATTCAATAGATTCAGCTGGCTTCTCTAACCTCCAAGCATTCAGCAGTGTGAGCAGTCCACACCCACACACACTTTGAAAAGAAACTCTAATCTTGTTTTGGAAAGAAACCCTACACATGCAGGGAGAGACTCTAAATGGGACAAAAACCATGTTACAGCTTATTTCCAGAAAATGTATGGCATTGAGAGGCTGCTGAAATAGCTTTATATTGGTTGCTGAGAATAACGGCAGTACTTGGTAATGGATTATTTTGGTCTGTGTCTCGCTCTTTTTTCTCCCTGCAGGGCTAAAGCAGATCCATGCCCTGTCCATCCAGGGGAACTATGAGCTACGTATCGACCTGGAGGACTTTGAAAATAACACAGCGTACGCCCAGTACGGCACCTTCGGAGTGGGCCTCTTCTCGGTGGACGCCGATGATGACGGATACCCTTTGACTGTGGGAGACTATTCAGGCAATGCAGGTATGTGCTGTGTACTCAGTGAACTCATTAAGGCTTTTCTTGGAAGACATACTGTGCACTCTGATTAGTATACACCATTTTTGTTTTGCACATATTATTTTTTTCCCCTTCGTTCAACCTAATGGCAAACACAGCAGTGTGCGAAAGTCCAGCCAACGCCCCTCGTATTCTGCATTCCAGCAAATATAACAGTGCATTATTTTTGCAATGCAGTAGACGTGTCCACTTGTTAAGCTTTGCAGAGAGTGCTCAGAGTGAGGGACTGCTAGTGTCTGTTTCTCTGCTCACTCATCATGAGATTCAAGCCAGCTACCTGTCACCTTGATTAAATTACTGCCAATTAATTGCCGTGCTTGACCTGCAGCGTAAACAAAAAAGCTGCCATTGAAATGAAGAAGCAATTTAAAGAAGCTTTGGGGAGCAGTGCTTTGAGAACAGACAGAGAGAGAATGGGGACAGATATGAGAGCGGGGAGGAGAGTAGTCGATAAGAAGGAGGGCGACTGGAGGAAACTGGGATGGGAGAACTAGGGGGACAGGTGTGGGAGAAAAAGAGGTAAATAAAAATGAGGATAGAGATATTTAAGGGACAGAGAAGGCAATGAAGCGAAGGAGGAAGAGAAAAATGGGTTGTATGTATGATGGGGATGGGGGGGTGTTCCTCCAGCTATGGCTCTGCTAAAATTCCTGTAAAACTCCAGGCCTGTCCTCTTCAAAGCCTGACCTTGAACTCGTTTGCCTGCTGGACATTTGAATCCAGTCAAATTATGGCTACTCCAACTCTCTCGGGATAGTCACACTCTCACGTCAGCTTCCCCCACAGCAGCTCTACTGTTATTATTAGTAGTATTTTCCATAGCTCTGGCTGCTTTTGATCAGCAGACAGGTGCTCGTTTCTACTGGGAGCAGCTGGATCTTAATGGGCATCAGAGGAGGCTGCCGGCCCTCAAGCCACCCAAGTGGCATCCTCTGCCTTGTAAATGAGCCTGTTTTTGCGCCCCTCCGCCACCCTTCCCCTTTTCTTCCTAGCTCTGGACATCATTGTACTGTTGACACCAGTAAGCATTTTTTTCCCTTGTTCTACTCCCCCACTATCTAATTTCTCCTAACATCAAGCGGCACACAACGTGAATATCAGACATGCCTGTCAAATTATTTTTCCTACCGAGCGGTTACCATAGTAATGCCAAATAGCAAGTGGAGCAGGGCAAAGTGAGAGGGTAAGAAGCTGTGCGGCCACATCCTGGGCAATTAAGGGCTGTTTGATGCCCTGACGAGCTGTTAGGCTTCACCTGATGACTGGTGAGCACTCTTTCATTCTGCTCACCACTTTATCCCTCTATCCATTTCTAGTCACAGTGTGAAGCCTGCTTTTTTTCCAAAAAAAAAATAAATTTGAAGGGGCAAAGAGTGGAGGAAATGTATGGGGAGTTTATTGAACATTATGAGCTCTTTCAACATCCATTTGCAGGAAACTTTTGGTCTACCGCAGCATCTGCAAGGGCGTTACTTTCATTTTCCTGGTGAATTTACAGCAGCGGCTCGCAAAACAGTTGTCAGTGTGAGAGGATTTGCCAGTAATAAATCTTTAAATAGTCAGAGCGATATTTTCAGCTGTGTGGATCAGATTGACCTTTCAGACCACTATTAGGTCCACTTAGGTGATGCAACTTGGCTGCGCCACATCCCTGCAGTGGTCTTTCATCACTGCCATAATCACAATGAGAGGTTATGGGAAAGAATGCCCTCTTATAGAATAAGTACGCTTTTAAAGCTCTTTGAAGCTGTTACAAAAGTTACATTATTATACTAAATTTCTTAAAGTGGACAAAATACCCTGACTTAACAAAAGACTGAGGGGCAAGATGTAGGGTAAACACACACCACATAAACAAACACAAAGACATAACCGGAATGAGGGCACAGAGGGCAAGGGGATGTGAAAACACTCAGACCTCGAGGGAGGGAAAAACAATATGGCCGTACCTAAAACCATGACATCAACATATGTGAGACAGACCATTTAGTATGTCTCATGTATCATCTGAAAGATTTGTATCCATTAACAACCTAATGAAATCATTTGGGGAGTGTTATTAAAAGGTCGCCACAGAACCTTTGAGTAACTGCCTACAAAGCCGTCTGACCTACTGCTTCAGCTAATGACAAGAAATACTCAGGAGGACACTGGAGCCGTATTTTTATTCTTTTATCTCTTTCTCTCTACAAAACAAAAAAAAGAATAATTGGAAAGTTATGAGGTCTTTTGAAGTTAATCGCTTGTGTATATGTCTAATTACAGGTTTCTAAACCAAGAATGTTCTGATGAAAGATGTAAAGGAGATAGCTATTATTTCAGTAACACTTAATAATATATACTTTACTAAGAGAGTAAATCCCGATGGAATTCAATGGAATTTCACTTTCATTTATTTGAACGAAAATGCAATTATATTTACCTACAAACACAAACAAGTTCGGTTTTTGCAGGAAACAAAGACATAATTGTAATGTAAATAAATTTAAGTACTATGTGGGTAATTTTGAGTTGATTTCACTTCTATGGTCATTTAGCAATGAAATCAAATTAATTATGTCACATCATAAATATGGCATACTTTTTGGGCCACGGGCCATAATATGGAGGTTTTTTTTTATTAAGAATTAATTAAGAAAAAACAGGTTCCATTAAAATATGGGGTCTCGTGACATAATGATGGGGAGAAACCCTTTTTTAACAATGAGTGTTCAAACATCCTCGTGTCCTGTAAAATATCTGATAGTTAGGCAAAGTTTTGCCACCACATAATACAGCCCGTGTTCCAAAAGGTAGTGTGCTTACAATGTACGATGGAAAAAGTGGCTGTGGGGGTGGCTGTAGCTCAGGTGGTAGAGCAGGATCAGTCATCTACTGATTGGAAGGTTGGTGGTTTGATTCCCGGTTTCCCCTCGTCTGCATGCCAAATATCCTTGGACAAGATACTAACCCCAAGTTGCTCTCTGATGCATCCATCGGAGTGTGAATGTTAGTTAGAAAGCACTAAGAAAATTGTGCTTGTACTTATGGGTGAATGCACTAGTTGTGTGAAGCGCTTTAAGTGCTCAGAAGAGTAGAAAAGCGTTAGATGAGAACCAGTCCATTTACCCAAAATGTTCTTTGTTTTTCCCACAAAATTACCAAGAAATGATGCAGTACGGAAAATGTTCTAACTGTGCGATTTGGATCGCGTTTCTTGTAAAATACCCAGAACTTAAATTTACTTACAGTCTAATTGTTCCTCTGTTCCTTCTAAAAACCTGATTTGTCACCGCATTATTCTAGTATTTCTACTTTTAAGTATTTGTAGGCAAGTATAATTAAACTGTAATTTAGTTTAAAAGGCAGTTTAAATTTCATTTAATTACAGTTGAATTACACTCTTAGATGCAGAACATATTTTTATGAAGTTACAGATTCATCTATGTTGTTTTATTCATTAACTTCAGTTATACGACTATTTTGTGTGTATTGACACATTCAAATTTAATTGCCATTCTTTTCTTTTTTTTAGGTGATTCTCTGTTGAAGCACAATGGAATGAAGTTCACCACCAAAGACAAAGATAACGACCACTCGGAGAATAACTGCGCCTCCTTCTACCATGGCGCGTGGTGGTACCGAAACTGCCACACCTCCAACCTTAACGGCCAGTACCTGCGCGGTCAGCACACCTCCTATGCCGATGGCATTGAGTGGTCCTCCTGGACTGGCTGGCAGTACTCCCTCAAATTCTCCGAGATTAAGATACGCCCGACCCGCGACCCAGAGAATAAATGAAACTGACACGAGAAGGAAAAAAAAAAAAGAAGAAGAAAATTTTCAAACATTATAAACCACAGTTTCTGACAGCTTGATGGAGTTACTTGTCTCGATATTGTTTATTCACTAAAACGTGCATCTTTGACTTTAGTTGACTCTGCTGTTTTCTCGTGATGTCTCTCTTCCATTTTTTTGCTCCTCTTCCTCGCTCACTCAGCTACTAGTCACCCTGGCTACCTTAATCCTTCCCGTGGTCCCATTCTTTGAGAAATTAAATAACCCGGACGCTCTTATTTTTGAACGTTTAGTTCACAAAAACAGCTTACCAGAGCCCTGAACCAACAACAGTCCACTGCTCCGGGTCTGTCAATGTGGTCCAGCCCCCCTCTGAAGTAAAATGGGTCCCCTGACATCAACCTGACCTAACCTGTGCTGACATGGCACTCAGTTCCACTGCCCACTCCTGTAAAATATGTGAAGACAACCCCCGTTCACAAAACATGAAGACAGAATATGGAAATTATTCAACCCTGCAAACCCCACCCCCACCCTCTGCAAAGAAACTCTCAAGTTTTACCAGGGAGAAGGGGACAGGGCAGTGGTGCACTACGTCACATTTACATCTTTGATCTGTCCGAATGAGCCCCGGCAGGGAAAGTGGCGAGAAGTACGGGCGCTCCGATAATGAGAGCGAGACAGAGAAAATGAGGAAACAATTTGACAGGAGCTAAATTGGTGGAAGGAATGGGGGGGGGCAGAGTGAATCAAACTGGGGAGATGAAGTAGGTGAAGAAGAAGAAAAAGAAGAAGAGGTGCAAGAAAAGGATGGGGGGGAAAAGAAGAGACAGTGGAGGATGTCATTCATCTGACTTGGACCATTAGGGAGCATATTGGGCACTTTGTCTGATCTGCCTGCCAGCTGAGTACTGGCCAACTGATGCAGCACTCACAGATGGTAACCCAGCACTTTGTGTGTGTGTGTGAGTGTGCGTGTAAGAGAGAGAGAGAGAATGTGTGTGTGCCTGAGACAGAGAGAGACAGACAGACAGAGTTCTCTAACACTATCAATTTCCTGTCACGGGTTCAGTAGAGCATCTCGATTGACTACAATGTTTAGCACAGAAAGACTAAGCATGATGCACGGCTGGCTTACCTGCACTCTGTCCAACTAAGTAGCTGAAATACGCCTGCAAGGGATGTAACGAATTAAAGCAGGAAAAGACAACAACTTAGAAGAAACTGATGGAGCCACTGAAAGAGACCCGAGGAAACTTCACGCCCCCCTTTCTTGTTTGTTCTCTCTTTTGTACGTTTTTTTTCCTCTCTCTGTTGTTTCCAGATGATTATTGTGGAATCGGTTTGTGCGATACGGTTTTATCTTGTCATGCAAACGGAGCGAAAGATGCTATAAAATAAGATTTGACGCTCTCAACCGCCGTCTTTTTTCTTCAGAGTCATGGCAACATCCAAACTGCCTACAGAAAACAAAGCAAAAAAAGAAAAAAAAGATGAAGTCAGTTTAAAAAAAAAAAAGGAAAGAAAAAATTCACAGCACATGGGCGGAAAACAGTGCAATCCCGATTTTTTTCCCCGTCTCTTTTTTAAAGTCGGTGAATCAACTTTTTTTTGGATGTAATAAAAGCTTTAAAATATCTGTAGATTTTATTGTACAGTGTGTATGACTTTTAGAGCATGAGAATCTGTTTCTTACTATGCTACAACACAAAGAGAACTCAAGCACATAGACTTTACAAAATCCACTGGTTCAAAAAAAGAAGAAGAAAATGCAATATGTGGAGCAAAATAACTTCCCCCCCCTTCTTATAAAATGAGCAAAAGGTGGGGAGTGGCGCTCCTTAGGCCAGATCCAAGTGAAGAAGAGTAACATGATTATCCCTTAAGCACATGCCCGCTCTAATCTGCAGCACAAATTTCAGTCTTTATGTCAAAGGCACAATGATAAGAGTTTTTTGAACCTCCTCAGGCACAATAGCTGCCTTGCTGGACATTTGCGACCTTTGTGATTACTTGGCTTTGGAGTCACTTGGAAGCAGTTTTGAATCCGTGCTAAAGGGTGTCGCTCCAGCTGACAGTGAGTTAACGTGTAGCACCGAGCAATGTTGCACTTAATACCTCTGACACTGGAACAGCTGTGAGTTTTTCTCTCATCCCCGGTGCTTTGATGAAGGATCTCGTTTCTGTGTGTGTTTCTGCTAGCGCATTGGCTGTGCACACGCGGTATATGTCACGTGGTGGTGGTGGACTCCTGCCACGTCTTTTCATCGAAGAAGCGCCGAAGACACGTTACACATGCCTGCAGATGTTATTGTGGCACAGAGTGTGCGGTGCGCTATTGTCAATTCCGAGACAAGCTGGAACTGTGCGGAGTCGCTCGAGGAGAGGGAATTGGACCGCTCGTTGAGTATGTGTGCGAATCGTGAGTATGTGCGTGTCTCTTTGCCGGACGGAGCGTCGGTATGCGTGAGCGCAAGCGTGCATCTGCAGTGTTTCTGTGTTTACACGTATATGCACATGCGTCGGTTTGTACACGCCCAACGTGCATGAGCCAGACAAGAGAACAGGAGGCTGGGTGTGTCTCTCTGTGGAATTCTGAAGTAATGTGATGCCTATGTACTACATGCCTCCCTCGCTATTTGTGTTGATAACAGAGAGATTTACATAATTCTAATAATGAACTATTACTTATTGTGATTGTGATCCCATTAAAATGGACACCACCTTCTTGGTACTGTGTTGAACTGCGCTTGTGCCCTCGAATCCTGACAACCCGCTCCCGAATTCTCTGTTCGCCTCAACATGACTTTGTGCTCACTGTATACGTTAGCGCTATGTTTCCCTCGTTATTTAAATGTAAAGACATGTATTATTTGCCATGATGATCCACCACCCCACCCCTCCTTCCCTCTGTGTTAAAGGCCTTCATTGTCACTCTTTGCTGCTGCAGCTTGCTAAGTCTCCAATGGAAGAGATGATAAAAGAAGTGAAATCAGAGGCTCTGATAATTCCCAGTTAACCCACTCATTACAGAGTATCCGCACCCTCTCCATCGATCCGCCACGTCCCCAAACCCCTTTCTTACTTTGTACCTCCTTAATTGCCTTAGCCTGTGCTGCCAACCCCGGCTCCTAAATTCCTCTCTCTGCTCTTTCCGCTCCTAACTCCTATCCCCTTTATTGCTCTGTTTTTCTTCCCCTACTCCCATCTCCGCTCTCCTCCACCCAGCCCGCCCATTCCTTCATTCCCAGCGCAGAACTAACTATGTTTTTCTTTTTTCCTTTTATTTTTGGTGAAGTACTATAGATTGTTTTGCTGAATCTTGATACTGTGTTTTAATGTTCTTGTCAACATTTAATAAACATTCACATTTTATAAATGGAGCACACGCCGAAGCATTTGTGTCTCTCTCGCTGTCTCTGTCTCTAGCAGCGCATCCATACACATCTATAGGCGTGTGGTTCTGTGTTTGTAAGAAGCATTTAGTAGCCTTCTGCTTGTCAAAAGAAAAACTTGTTAACGTTTTGGAACATCAACCACGATAAAGTACCACAAAGCATGTCCTTGGTTTTGAAAGGTAGACTAAGCAGACAAAGAAAAGAAAAAAAAAAGCTTTGGGTCTCGGGGGGCCAGCCACGTAGTTATAGCTTTGCTCGGTGAGGGTTCAGATAATATCAACTTTCAAGAACTTTTCTGCTGCAAACTAAATGCAGAGGTAAATTGAATTTTTGTTTGTCAGAAATGATGCTGCAGCTATTTTAGAGTTGTTCCACAGAGTTGTTCCTTGGGAAAACTAAAGAAGACCATCACCATGCTCCATCAGGACATGCATGACTGCATGACTGGACATTGGCCCCATTTCTAGTATAAGTTCCAAGTTAGTTTTAGCATTAATTTCACATAAGTGTATACCTAAGTGCACGGAATGATCCAATACCTTGTACAAACACCTTTAGCATTAATAACTTGAAATAACACATAGATTTCTGTATGATTTTATCAAACTCTGACATCATTGTGGAAGAAAGAAAAAAAAACCAAACTCAAAGTACAAGTTTTCTAATTTATTAAGCATAATAACAGTGCCTGTCTCCTCCTCTGTTCAGCATGCCAAACAGACAAAGTGCACCGCACCCAAACAGTAAACACTTTTATTATGAGACACAGAAACAGAATATTAATGTCATTGTTTAAAAGTTGGTTTAGCCTTGGCTTCTTCCCTTATATGGAGCTGGACCCAGTGCTTAGTTCGTCTTATACTTTCTTTACTGGACATCTCCCTGTAAGAGAAGAGCAGAAAAACAACCCCTCTCTAGACACAGAACCTGGTATCGCATGGGTGTGGCGTTCTCTTTCAACACTCTATTCTATATCACTTATTTGTGTAATAAAAGATGTGACATAAATGTGATAACTGATAAAATGTAAATATGTGATATGAGGTGTTTGTGTTATCTAAAATAATGAGGTATATTTGTATTAAAGATAAAAAGTAAATTGCTAACAGTTTTGGCCCACTCTTCTTTACAGGATAGCATCAGTTTATTAAAGGTACTGAGGTAAGTTGGTGAGGATTTCCTGAACTTTTCTATCAGTGAACATTTCCTTTGTTGCTTCGATTAGCTGCTGTTAGGTAGCATTTGTGAAACTTTCTTTGAAATGGATCTAACATTGTTGAACTCAGGCTCTTAGCAAATAAAGTCTCATAGAATCTGAGAATGTAATCAAAGTGCTTATCGGAGGAAAAACGCGATTTTGATTTTCAGGAAAGTTGAGCCTAATATTAGCTGCCTTAATGTTAGCAGGTCTGGTCTTTTTTTCTATAAAACCTATATTCTATATTTCTATAAAATCTACAAAAACTACTACTGTTGAGAAGAGAGTGCCAGTTTTTTAACAGACCCAAATGCTTCACACCTGCCAACTGCCAAAATGTCTGCTCAGACAGAGGTGATCACATTTGCCAGTGGTCAGTTAATCAAGGGCATTTGGTTATTAGCACTTGGCTGCTATTTACTTTTTAATTCCCATGGAAAAAGTAAGTTTGTGCATAATTTTTCACATGACTGCATGGGTAGAGTAGCCCAAATATATTCAGAACAAATTTAAAGAGAAACATTCAAAACTTAGATCGCTGGAAGGACAAACATAATACAATTTGATAACAGCAAACGAGCAAGTGATATTTTCAAAGGTTGTATTGTGTGTAATTTTATTACTGCTCTGAAGAGCCGAGTGAAATTGTGAAAATAACAACTAAACAACAAAACAGTAACAAAATAATATTAGTCAGCTTTATCCTTCACTGGGGCTTTCAGGTCTTTGTCCTTTGGCTCATTTTTAACTTGGTTTGATGGCCACAATAACAACGTCTCATCCTGTTCTACGGCAGCTCAAGATCAAAGTTTACTCTAAACACTACATATGACTAACATCTAAATTCAGATCCCCCCTGTAAAAACGCATCATCAATAGAGCTCTTGATAAGAGGAAACCTCTAGAGCTGGAAAATAAAGCCAACGTGGAAGTGGCAAAAACTGCAGGTGGTGCCGCTTGAGGCTGGCTCCAAAAGGAAGTCAGTCCCCACCAGTGTTGGGTAAGTTACTTTAAAATAGTAACTTAGTTACATTACTAGTTGCTTCTCTCAAAAGTAACTCAGTTACTTCAAGTTACTCGTTACTTTCAAAGTAACTAGTTACTAGGGAAAGTAACTTTGGTTTTACTCAGAATTCTCTTGT